CGAATGTTCAAGCTGTCCTGCAACCTCCTCTGATGTTTTTGAGAGCTTGGAGACGGTATCTTCTGTTCTCTGCTGCCATGCTTGGCTTTGCAAGTAGAAGCATATGTTGGTTGTGTGCGTGAAGAAAGTCGTGTAGGCATTGAATGCTGTGTCGTCCATATTTCCCGTACAATCTTCAATACTTTTATCTCTAGAACAATTGTAAGTCCTTCTCCCGGACTTTTTTAAATGGCAATTCGTGAAATCCACTGCTAGATAGCTTTGTTCAATATCAGTTAGTTTCTTGCAACCAACTTCGAGATTTGCAATGGCCTCCTTCCAACATTCACTATTTTGAGCTTTTGCTTGGAAATCTTGCAGGGATTTTTCTCCTGCTTTGTATCTTTCTTCTGAGGGAAGCTCAAACGCGTAACAATTCTCTTTAGGTGCAAAATAAAATACGATCAACAAAATAAACATATATTTCATTGCAGAAAACATTTTTTGGGCAAGTGTTTGAAAAAATTCAAGTTTTGCGCCGTTTGTTAATCCCGTGACTTGTTCGGTGATACTTCCGACTACAACACGGAAAATTACGAAGATTTTACGATGTTTTTCTTGGCCCAAATAACTGATGGATTTGAAAAATCTGTATTGCAAAATATACTCGAACTATCTGAAATAAAATGTCCAAGAAATAAAGCCTTTAAAATAAACAAAATATKTCTTTTCGAAATATCCGAAGAAGATACGAACYCTGCATGTCACGCAGAGCATGTCGGTCAGTAGTTACAGACGCTTTGAGGAATTTTGGAGCCTCGAACGAGAATTTCACACTTCTAAASCTAGCATTTCTTCCGCAAATTAAGATAGACGAGAGAGAACGATAGATATTCTTGCTAACGCAACTATGAAGTTAGAATAGGTCTACTCTCATTGTGGACTTGCATTTCCGATGCAAGGATTCCTTGTAAAACCAGGAAGAACCTTTCTMGCGTAGCTGAAAGATCTTTAGTCAAGTCCTACCGCGACAAAACATGTCTCTCGAAAAGTACTCCGTCGAGAAGTTGATCGGRAAAGGAAGCTATGGAGAAGTATTTCTTGCTAAGCACAGGAAGGATAAAAGGATGGTGAGTGTATAAAATACACACAAAGCTGTCTAAAACCTGAAAGATTTTGAGTATGATTTATTCGCGTGGGACATGTCGTTCATAAACTTCATAATATTTCTCATTATTTATGGCTGGTTACTGCACGCTTGTGTTTCAATCAAGTGTAAATAACTTATATTTGATTCGTGTTTTCTTTTCAGTACGTTGTTAAAAAGGTTTCGCTCCTAAAAGCKTCGGAGAAGGAAAGAAAAGCAGCTGAACTTGAAGTAAGCGTACGATATTTTCATATTGTTATGTTTCTTGTCAATAAAACATATTTTATATGAAAGGATTGCTATATAAGGTCTCTGCCACGGTACATTGTAGTTGGTGTGTTATACCAAGCTTTTGTGTCATTTACATGTCCTGTAAGCTATTTAGTCAAATAATGGCTCAACAAATATACGTCACAGGACTTGTATAATCTCGGTTGTCATGGTGATGTTTTCATAATATGCTGACCAGTTACTTACTAGTATGCTTCCGTGTTTTTGGTATRTTGATTTTTCTTGTATTTTGCTATTAAGATATTCGGCATTAGACACTGTTATAATTTGTCTATTTGTCTAATTCAGTTCAAATAATGAAATCAATTACCTGTATGATATTGGATTTCKTTGTTGAAGTTTGTTACTTCTAATGGATTCTCGTAAGTGTCTGACAATTGTCATTAATAAAAAGTCATGGTCCAAGTCATCCCTTTCAATAWTTTGCTTATGTTTTAAAAAAACATACTCTTTATTATTTTCTATGCTCTATTAATGGAAATATTGTAATAAAACCACTGTAAAGAAATGGATTACGCAAATGGTATTTGAAGTCAACTCATTTTTCCATAAATGAAAAATCTCAAACACAACCACATTGAATGCTKGTAGACCATAATTCTTTAAGGGACTTGAGGTCATTGTCGAATCATGCAATCAAAGTCATACAATAAATTATCTGCTATCCCTTCATGTAGAGCATAAAATTAATTATTATTGTATTGTTACATTCTAGGCTCAACTTCTTTCAAGGYTGCGTCATCCTAACATAGTATCATACAGAGAATCATTTCAAGGAGATCAAGGATATTTATTCATAGTCATGAACTATTGTGAGGGTGGCGATCTTTATACAAGACTCAAGGCTCAAAAGTCTACTTTGTTAGGTGAAGACCAGATAGTTCAGTGGTTTGTCCAGATAGCAATGGCTTTACAGGTAGAATTTATTATAAAATATTTGACATATAATGCTTGATAAATTATTGTAGCATAGAGAGAAACATACTGTATGACCTGCTAGACTTGTACATGTATTTTGAAAAAGCAGAAATATTCTTCATGACTGTATAAAAGATTTGTTATTATAAAATGGCTCTGCACTAGCTCTAATATAAACACAGTTATAGAGAATAGAGACCTAGAAAGAGAACTTGCTTCTTTATGATATAAATGTGCTCTTCAYATCTCATATCACACAGTGTTTATATCAGAGGACAAAGACACAGCCATTAATAATTTCCTAAGCAAATAATGTAAAATTTTCTCTACAGTACATGCATGAAAAACATAYATTACATCGAGATCTCAAAACCCAGAATATTTTCCTAACAAGAAGCAAAATTATTAAGGTATTTTAAACTTTTCTTATTTCATTATAAAAGAATGTGTGTGTTGATTATTTTATGCTAATTGGACTGCAGTTAACAATGAATGAGATGTATTTTTAAATTTCCTCTTATCTACTATGCTTAGTCTATTACAATTGTTTAATTTGACTGGTTTCATGTTTATTTTTTTCTAGCTTGGAGATTTAGGGATTGCTAAAGTGTTAGAAAATTCATCTGACATGGCCACAACACTGATAGGAACTCCATATTACATGTCTCCCGAACTGTTTTCAAACAAACCCTACAATCATAAGGTAAATCAGATAAAACCTACAAGCTACATAATGTTTCTCTTTCAAACATGTAGCTAAGAGCAAACACTAAAAAGAGTGAAAAAGTACCAACCCAATAGTGCTAAATGGTGCAATATAGTTTAGATTAAGACAAATGAAAAAAAAGGAAACCATACCTCAGTAAACAAAAACAAAAAAACGTATTAAAGACAATGAATCAGAAAAAAAGACAATTGAAATCAAAGGAATCTGTGTATAATTCATTACAATTAGTACTAGTTTTATAATTACTATAAAAGTTTTAATGGATATGTGTTTGTGGTACAAACAGCTAACCATCATCATTATTGTGAGATGGGTTTTCAAAGCCTGATGAACAAACAGTACAGTTGTGTTATTTATAAAGAGAACATAAAGCAGATTCCATATGACTGCTTGTGGTATGCAAACACCATCAACATTCACTATATTATTATTGTGAGATGCGGTTTTCAATGACTATATGCAATGGGACAGATTAATGATGGCATAGATAACAGTTAGCAATGGCTGCAGAGATTCGGTATTGAAGCCATTTGAAAGATTGTGAAAAAGGCATACATTAGTGTGTACACAACATGAAAGTACATACACCTAATTGAAAAAACGTAGTTGTGTTCGAAAAGGTCACATCATTGAAGCTAAGACCGAAAGGGATTTTGAGTACCACTAAATTGGGATTACATTTGTATTACGGTGTACCGTAAAGCAGGTAGAGCTAGTAAGATTAACAGCATGCTAGTCTTTTATGCTGGAGAGATGTTTGTATGAAATTAGCCATATTGTTTGTCTTCCCAAGTTCCCTTTCCCTTAGCTTCTATGATTTGACCTTTTTGGGCCCGACAAAGTTTTTTCAATTAGGTGTGTGGTTTTTGCAAGACATGTACACTCATATACTGGCATTATTATTAAATAATAAAATTTTGCATTGATTACCCATGAAGATGTTATCTCCTAGGTGTTGTCTTCATGTGATACTGTATATTTATGAGCCATATCATGATCATTGAATTCAATTAATATGTTTTGCATTGTCCTCTTTCAGTCTGATGTTTGGGCTCTTGGGTGTTGTGTTTATGAAATGTGCACATTACGGCATGCCTTTAATGCTAAGGACATGAGTTCACTGGTTTACAAGATTCTCAAGGGAAAAGTAAGTATGAAGTATTANTTACTCCATCTACGTCATCAACCCAGGCTCCCTCGCACTCGGCCAAAAATCATTTGGCCGAATTAAACGAGCATAAAAAATATAAAATTTGGAAATTCGAATTTTTTTTATGTGAATTTGTGGTTTATAACTCCTAAACTTTTTTTTCCAACTGTAAAAAAAATTGGGTGAGGTGGACTTTAACCATTACCATCATCATTCACTATGTTATTGTGAGATGGGTTTTCAAAGCCTGATGAACAGTACAGTTGTGTTAACAAAGAGAACGTGAAGCAGATTCCATGACTGGCTTGTGGTACAAACACCTAACCATCAACATTCACTATATTATTATCATGAGATGGGTTTTCGATGACTATTACAATGGGACAATATAGTAGATAACAGCTAGCTTTTTTGCTGCAGAGCTTCGGTATGGAAGCCATTTGAAAGATTGGGAAAAAGGCATACGCTATAAGTACATACACAACATGAAAATGTACATATGGTTTTTCCAAAGACATGTACACTCATAGACTAACTATTCTTGTATACTGGCATTATTATTAAATAATAACATTTTGCATTGATTAACATGAAGATGTCTCCTGGGCGTTGTCTTCATGTGATACTGTATATTTATGAGCCTTATCATGATCATTGAAGTCAATTAATATGTTTTGCTTTGTCATTTTTCAGTCTGATGTTTGGGCTCTTGGGTGTTGTGTTTATGAAATGTGCACATTACGGCATGCATTCAATGCTAAAGACATGAGTTCACTGGTTTACAAGATTCTCAAGGGAAAAGTAAGTATTAAGTTGGTTTATGACTTATATAATTAATGCTGTACATGTGCATTTTCAGTGTACATGTATAATTATAATTTCAACTATAGGAGCTGGTATTTTACATGTATACATAACAGTTTTGTTCACAGAGAATTTTTACATTATTATCCATCATGTTTTTAATACATTACAGTGTATGTCAAGTTTTTAACTTTGACTTTCTATCGATTCAGACACCTCCATTACCCAAACAATACAGTGACGACTTGTGTTCAATTATAAAGATCATGTTGGACCAGGATCCTTACCAAAGACCTAGTGTAGCACGCATTTTACGTCACCCATACATTAAAAAGCAAATTGCAAAGTTTTTGGAAGGAACGAAGAACAGGTTTGTGGTTTACTCTACTGTTTTGTTTGGTCTCTTTGTTGTCTTGAATGTATTTCTTATCTAAATATTTTCTGGCCGGTTAATTGATTAAGATGGCAAAGTTTACACTTGACTTAGATGGCAACAATTGTCTGGTTTGATGATTGACTTAGATAGTACTTATCTACCTAGCTGACTTTCTAAATACGACTTGACTAACCACCGGTTGGCTTAAACAGCAAAATGTCTGATTTTGTGGTCAACTTAGACTGCAAAGTGTCTGGTTAMTGGTGCACTTAGACAGAAAAGTGCTTGTTTAACTTCATTACTGATACAGCAATTATTGCCAGGCTAACTGTTTGATTTAAACAGCAACATTGTCTGATTAACCTAGATGGCAATATTTGTAGGTGAATTTTCTCATATCATTTTCATGTCATTCCTTTTCTCAATTTCCTTATCATTAGATTCTAAGGTTTAGTTGTAAAAACTGTATTAGATTATAACAGAAGTATTATTATCATGATCTTATCAGGCAAAATCGAAAGACAAGCAGCACAGAGAAAAGGATTGTAGAAGTTAAACCTCCCAGTAAACCATCCTTAAGTTCGAAGTCRGACTCTGGTTACRTTGATCCAAACTTACAGTCTATTGCAACTGTTTCTGGTGTCGACTGTGTGATAGAAGACAAGCCCAGGAAAGTTGATAGTCCACCAACGGTTGATCACCCCAGATCTGTAGAACRATCACATTCTGAAACTGATGTTGGACAAGCTTCTGTAGACAGTTCACAATCTTCATCTTCCTCCAGCTCAACACTTGAGAAAGAAGAAGTGAGTAAACCATTGAGAAATGGAGTTGCAGTGGATGAAAGGCAAAGAGAAAAAGAACCAGTRAAGAAGCAAGTAGTTCCAAAGCCAAGAAAGTCATCCTTGGGAAATAAAGGRTCAGTTCTCGATGAGCGGTCATCCATAGTTGTTGGTAAAGAAGGTACAAAACTAGAAGAGAAGAATCCAACTAGACGTGTGCGCAGTGCTGGCTCATCTAGACCAGYAGCTAGTGAGGTAATAAGATATTGTTTTTTACTTAAAGATAGAGAGTGCAATAATAGAGGCTTAGGAACATTAGTGCTGAACATACAAGTTGCATGTACAGTATGTGTCGAGCAAGTCTTGTTAAGCATATATAATTGATGACACAAACAGAGTCAGAGCAATATCCAGACTCATGAATTTCTGTATAAGTAAAACAGAATAACCCATTAGATACCAAATAGAGTACAAACACTAAAAGCATGTTATAGTTAACTAATTACATTGTATATATATATAGAGAGGATATCAGAGATACAGATTTTATCTTCTAAAATTATCAATTAATCACAAGATGATAAAATTCGTACATGTATCTCTAAGCGTCCGTGTAATGGTCTGTTTATTAAGTAAACTCAAGTTTWTATATGTAAGGAAATAAATATGACAGTTTTGTATGGAGAACCGAATTGAGGGTATCTTATTGAAGTTTATATAAGAAAGTGCAAAATTACATTTAGATTTCTATTTGTCCGGCTCATCAACATTGTATAGCTCTATTTAGCACTATTTTGACTTGGTAATTTTTCACGCTTTATAATGTTTGCACTCTAGCTCTTTGTAGTAATATTGCTTTTTGCTACATGTATTCTAGCCTAAACCCTCACCTAGAAGTAGACCTCTGCCGAGACCACCTCCTCCACAACCKAGAGCAAGTGTTGGGGAAGCACCAATGTCAAAGAGTCCAAGAGCAAGGAGACGTTATAAGATAAGTACCAAAACTCCATCACATGAAGAAGAGGAAGAAGACGACGATGATGACGATAAAAGTACYGCTTCTGTTGAATCTGACAGAAGGTATGAACTTGGAATATTGTTACTGGCATGCTCAATAAATATTTATCATATGACCGTTTATATTGGAGACTGGACGCGAGTAAATGGAGTGATCTGATTGGTTGATGTCGACTTTTCTCCGTGTAGATTCTATTTGGGTAGGCCGCTCTTACTACTCGACTCGGGGTTCTCTGAATTTTTCCAAAATATTACATTTAACACGTAAAATCATACCAAAAGCACAAACAGCAACATAGGAATTCAACTTGAAGCTATTTCTACTGCAAAATCATGAAAAAAAGGAATTTTGTATAGAATCTCATACCTCAATTTTAAAGTCGTGCATTGATTGGTCAACACGTCAACCGGATGAGAGGGTATTTCGTGCAATATCGGCTTTACTCGTGAATTCAACGCGGAATTCACTCGTCACCCTATAGTATCCAGATGAAATTTCAATTGACAAAAAGCGAAGAAGAAAAACTGCCTTAAAATTCTATGTTCAGTGTTCTTTTATTTCATTTCTTATCTCTTTTTCTTTCAGTTCTCATTCAGTCAGTGAATCATCTAATGTGAGTACATGCGTGTAGCCTTGGCAAGACTGTGTATCACATRCAATTTACAGTAGACTTACATGCAATTACTTTTCAAGCTATAGATTTTGAACGTTTTATCAATTTATAGTACCATGACATGCGCCCACATAAATCAATAAATCGTTGTGATCGTAGGTTTCTGGTTTGTCGGCAAGAGAAAGGCGCAGGCTAAAATTACGAGCCTCAGGGTCGCCTCTACCAAGTCCCTCAGCATCATACAACACACCACCCCTCCCCTCCCCTAAGGGTGTTATAGCTGATCTACAAAGGAAAAAGTCTAAGGACCATAGYAAAAAAGGTGCGTATTTATGTAACTGCATTGAAATAATCAATATTTTCTAGCGTAGRGAGGGGGGCACGTGCTACCCCAAAAGATTTTGCCAAATTTGAAAAAWRT